AGATCGGGAATCAAATTAAGGGGTTAGTGATGAATAAACGTTTCCAAGAACTTTATAGTATATTGCGGAACAGGATAACCGTCACTAAAACTTCGCAGTGCAGGAATAAAGACCTACACTTACCTACTACACTTAAGAATTGTATCACTGGCCGTGATCTGTAGAGGTCGCGGGTTCGATTCCCATCCAGGAACAATAAATTAGATGATTTGGTGTATTTAGAAATATATAAATGTTTAACAGAAAAAATAGAGTGCACAACCGTACACTCTTTTACCATCAGTGGGCTGTTTGGGCTTTTTATGAAGCAATTTTTATGAAGGTTTCCGTGTGGTGAGATTCCGGATTAAGAATACGGAGTGTCACCACCCCTACACATCTCGTGGGTGTCGTAAGAGGCGACTAAGGGAACTAACTACGCAGGACAACAGCAGTGCAAAGAGAAGGAAATCTTAAAACAAACCCTATACCAACCCGTCTGGCCAGCGTGGTATAGTAGGCCAAATCCTCTTTTCTAAAGAGAGGCCTATGTCCAGCAGTGGACTATTAAAGGTTATTGATGTGATGTGAACTCCAGACCTTGTATAAGAAAGGCTGGACATGCATCTAAAATAACCTGTTGTCATATGCTGTAAATAGAGATAGACTTAAGGTGGCAAAACAGAAATTCCTTGAACTGTTAGTGCAAGAACTTCTGTTATACACATTGTCAGGCGTATTAAGCGGTAGTGGACTATTAAAGGCTGTTGATATGATGTGATGATGATGAAGGTATTATGTTTTCTTTATACCAAAAACAGTGCAACAAATACTATCAAACTAATTATAAAAGTAACCCAATATATAATACATAATTTATAATAAAGAGACCACTTAGTTCCTATTACTATTGAATTGATATGTAAAACAGAAGTCAACAGCCTGAAGCAGCTTAGTAACAACTTATCGGTTCTTAGTGATTCATCTTCGCTTCGCAGCTTCTGTTACGATTGGCGACTTATTCATTGTGGGAGCAATGTTTAGTCTTAACACTCGTACGATAACATTAAAGCATCGCGGTCAATGGTTTATAACGAGCTTTTGTTCACTCAATAAAAATATTCGCATTATGAACATATTATTCTTTACAGTTTCCTTTCATGTATTTTTAGCGTTCATAAATTAGCTCATACGCATTCACTCAACCTATTTAATGGCATGTTTCATATTCTGGCAAAGTTATCAGCACTCATATCGGCCTATTTTTATCGCTGTACGTACAAAAAATATTTTTTGCTTTTTGGTCTGATCAGGATACGAAAGAAATAATTTGGCGAGCTTTTTATCGCTTGGCCGCCATTCACTTCCGGATTCGTTTCGCTGATTAAAACGAGAAGTAAAAACTTCACCTAATCTGCATTCTATTTCTATTGTATGGTCAAACAAATTTCTGCTTGACTTGTAACAATGGTATGTTAGGGCAGATCTAGTACACTTCGTAGTAGTATGAATTTTATAACTTCAAAGAAGGGCCGTTTTCATGCGACTCACTAGCTAGCACAAACTCTCACGTTTAGTGTGATATGCGGTCCTATACTCTCATAACTAATTTTGTAATAATCTTAGCCCTTCCTCAGGGTTTCAGTAAAAAAATATTGTAATAAAAATTTAATATAAATAAAGACAAATTCTGTTTTCCTTGCACCTACCGCATTATTTTTCTATATCACCTGAAGGTCGACTGGCCGAGAATGACCTGGGCGTTAAGTCCGCCTGTGTACAACTTGTGCATTCATCAATAGCCTTCAACAGTCCACTGGACTGCTGGACATAAGCCTCTCCTTAGAAAGGAGGTTCTGGCCTACTATACCACGCTGGCCAGACGGGTTGGTATAGGGTTTGTGTCAAGTTTTCCTTCTCTCTGCAGTGCTGTTGTTCTGAGTAGTTTTTTCCCTTAGTCGTCTCTTACGACACCCACGGGATGAATAGGGGTGGTGACACTCTGTATTCTTAATCCGTCACTACACGGACTTTGTGCTTGTTCATTAAGTTATATAAATAATTTAAAAAAAACGCTTTCAGTCCTCAGTAAGTATGCTCGCTAAATATTGAAAGTGAAATAATTTTTTTCGAGCGTAAATTGCTAAATTACTACTTTATGTTAATGATGGCATGTAGATGTTAGAAATGAATTCCTTGATTACATGATTATGTATGTGAATATATGTTGTTAGGACTTTTTATTAGTAATAAGAATGCAGCAGAACGTATACAGCGGCTTGGGAAAATAAGTAAAAGTATGATGAGTAATAAAAAAGCAACCAATATTTTTCCTAGCCTGACTAACAAACGTTAGAAACTTTAAAGAAGTAAAAAAATTGACTTAATTAATCGACGTGAGGAAAATGGATGCGGATGGATGCGGATTGCCTAATGGCAGACCGTGTCGTTTTAGTCGGTCCGATTCCGACACACCACCCTGCCGAAAACCCCGGTGGGGTGACGGAACGAGGGGTTAACACACGTAAAAAACTAGAAAAAAGGTTGTTTGGCCTTCATTGCATGGGCTGATGATGATAATGAAAAAAAAACTGAAGTTGAGACTGGACTTGATTTTACGCTGGACTAGTTTATAGATTTACAATAAGTAATCTAATAAATTGAAGCCGTGATTGTCAACAGATTTATTTGACGTTTATAGAATCCCAAAATATTGTGCTCAGTACTAAAATACACAGTTAGTCACGATTACTTTGAGAGTTGTACTTCAAGATTATTAATTTAATATAATAGCGCAGATTTGATTTGAAAGTTCAAATAACTCTTATTGAATACTGTTTGCTGTCACAAAGGGTAAAATAATAGGGTTTTAAAGGGGTAGCTTTACAGTTTAATATTTTGCAAACGGATCACTGAATCGAAAAACAATCTTCACACCCTTTTTGAAAGTCCTATCCACATAGTCGGATATGGCGGAACTATAAGGGTTCCGGAACCTCTGTCCTAAATAGTGTAAGATATACACAGTTCGTGGCACAAAACCCTTATGATCCCCTATATACTCGTACATTCTTGGGCTACGTTAATAAATAGTGGAAACCGCTAAGACCGAGACCGCATTTGCTTTTCGCTGCCTTTGCATATTAATAAAAAATTGTTTTAAGCTTTTTGACAAAAGAAACTAAGTTGACAAACTAGAATATCTGTTTTGTCTTTGCCTATTTATATGTATAATAACTTGACACATCTCAGACACGGCCGTTTTAAATGAGGCACAGCATGTCCTAGGGTAACCAGACTGCTGATAAATGTCCATACTAATATTATAAATTCGAAACTGTCGGTCTGCTTTTGTGTCTGTCTGTCACACGGTGTCACGCTTAAACCGCAGAACCGATTTAGATGAAATTTTGTGTGGAGACAGTTTGATTTTTTGAGAAAGGATATAGGCTAGTTTTTACAGCGATAACCGAGGTACACGCGGGCGGAGCCGCAGGCAAAAGCTAGTAGGTACTTTTATATTTCTAAATTCATACATCATTGTCCGTGTGGTGACGGATTAAGAATCTCCGTATTCTTTAATAAACTCAAAAACAAAACTCTCAGAAATAAACTCACCTAAAGAAGTTTTCACTTCAAAAATTCCTTTCATAACAAAATTGAAAGATAGAACGGTCAGTTTGATTATTAGTTAAACAAATTATCAATAAGCAAGTATTTTTACGTGTAATTGAAACACAAAGTTGGTACAACGGCTCGAAAGTGGGAATGTCAATATTGGTGCGCGTTGGTGGGTATAACCGGACGGTGTAATTATACACCGACCTGAGATACGGCAAGAGTACAAAGTAAGTAGACGCAGTCAGTAACTGTCATTGATGCTTGTTTGTGTATGCTCGCGAAGAGTATGCTTTATTTCTTTGGTCCTCAAACTGTGTTGTCGTTGGCTTTGGAAATGTGGCGCTGCGTTCGCCACTTATGTTCAATTAGATCAGTGATGCTAACGAATAAATAACATCAATGACGTAATAGAAAGGCAGGTTTTTTGTGATTTTGGTATTTTATACTTGGGATTTTTTTTATTATTTAGCAGAAATTTGATTTATCGCTATGTGTCTAGAGTATCCACTGTTGATGGTGTTTCCGAGTTCTGAGAGTTGAGATATTTTCTTTGAACTGGAATTAATGTTACAAAATGAAGTTTGCTTTTAAAATTAAGAATACACTAAGAAGGATAAATATGACAATTCTTTATATACTATAAATATTATCTCATACATACAATATAAATGACTAATGATTTTAATTATCACAAAAAAGTAAAAACATTGTTGAGACCTCCCCAATTTATCTATGGCCGGCAACATTTATTCTTTACCTTTAATTGCTAATAAGTACATAAATTTTTATGTTTAAATAAATAATTGCACAATCAAATTTAAAAAGTGTAAAACCTGAGAAGACAGTTACGATAAATAAAAGTCCCAGTCCCACGTCAAGACGCGGTTAGATCTGCAATCATTTGTCGGCTACTGCACTGGCGCAGGCGCAGTGTCCACTTTCAAGTGCCAATGTGTCCATGTTTGGATAAACGAGCTGCGGTCCCGTTCTCCGATGCAACGCAATGCACTGATCGGCGGCGCCGGGATATCGCCATTTAAGTCGCACGAGACAGAGATGGTCGGCAACATGATTAAATTGTTTTGTACGCATTGTTGATCGCCTAAACCACTAAACCGAAACCACAAAACCGGCAAAAGCTAGTACGTAATATATCTGTATTCTTCTGTATGTATTAATGTAATCGTACCAAATAATGAAAAAATGTGTAATCGCTTTATTCAAACTATTGTTTTTAATGGTAATGCAGTTCTTTGAGATTTAATGCTACAATCCCTTCTATAGGTCAAAGTAAAGCGACATTATAACATCTACATCTATTCTAATTTATGTGGAGAATCTTTTTTTTAAAATCTTAATTTACATGTCACTTGTATATCGAACTATAATAATGGACTTACCGTCAAATTTGATTGCTCTATTAGTAAGAGTGTCTGCGAGCTTACTAAGCTCACTCCAGAGGGCCGACTCCAGCTGCGTCCGCGCAGCCTGTGTGAGGCGGACGCGTGCGACGGCACCACAGCAACCGTTGTTCAAGCATAATTGATCTGCATCTGTAGAACAAAACAAGAGAAGTTAGTTTTAATATTCGTTACTTTGTAATGTATCGTCAAACGCATTAAGAGTAACCCTTTGAAAGAAAGTAATAAATATAAAGTATATACCAACCCGTCTGGCCAGCGTGGTAAAGTAGGCCAAAACCTCCTTTCTAAGGAGAGGCCTATGCTAAGCAGTGGACTATTATAGGCTGTTGATGTGATGATGATGTGAATAAATATAATCATCAGACCAAGAAGAATTTTTATTACATGGGAGTGATGAAGCCCTAGGTTACAAAGTATCCCAGAAACTTGCAAAAGTAGTTAAGTTATAGAGCTTAAGTATAAGTTTTACAAGTATCATAGAACAGCTATAAAATGTGGAACCCGTGTTCGTTAATGACGCAATGTCCCTCGTCAAAAACTACATGAAGTGGAAATAGCTTAGTTAAATAAAGTGATAAGAGACCAGAATGTGAAATAATTTCGAATATACTTTTCTCATTTCTTACTTTACCAATGTTACGATCAGAGAATGTTAATAATTGTCAACTAGACTGATCTTAGATTGGGGTGCAGCTACATAGCGAGGGGCGTGATGATGGGGTCGCAAATATATTTAAACATCCGCCCCCAACGTTATTGCGTTATTAAAGTAAGGGTGAATTGGTACGTTCCTGTCTTCTTTGATGGTGCTGTAAAAATCAATAAATTTTGAGACGTTGAGGGCAAGTTAACGACAGGATTGGACGAGATAGAGATTTTATTTATTATCCTTACACACATCTCATCTACAGCCTTTAGTAGCCCACGGTTAGACATAAGCTTAAGCCTCCTGGAGAGGAGAGGCCTACGTCCAGGAGTGGACTATTATAGACTGTTGATGATGATGATGATGATGACTTCAGAACTCCAACATTGATGAGCCGATAAGATTAAATAAATTTTTTGTCAGGGTACACTTCCTATTTGGTCACATTTAAAATTGAAGAAAAGTACTGCCCCCAAAGGGAAGTTGCAGTTTTTTAAAATTCATCATGAAATAGACTCATTCAAGTGAATTATTTAAAACAAAATCGTCTATGGTAAAATTGCAATTTTCTAATTCAGTTTTACTTTTTTTATCATTCCAAGCAGGTTGTACGAGTACAAAAGTTTTCAGAAATCTGCTTCTTCAACTTTGTAAAGGTTACTTACTATTCCGCGCAGGTTGAAAGTTAACGGGAGTAAACGGTTCATTTTCGGAACTCGTACCGGAGCCAACCTGTTGCAGGATCACAATAATTTTCCAATAGCGTGCCGTGAAATTTTATTGCCTCGTAAAGGCGATGAGCATGAAAATCTACCTGTTAACAGATAACCTACGAACCGTGATTATTAAACGGTACAGTTTGACCTTTCTAGAACGTTCTTGAGTTGAAACATTGATACCTCGTCAATATAAGATATTTCATCAAGGTCGTACGCGTAATGTCAAGTAATGCGTATTTACTATTAAACCAACAGACATAAATTAAATTAATACGCGAAATAACCTATAATAATCTTTTATTCAAAATTTAATAAAAATATTATATAAGTTACTTCGGCAGGCCCCTATACACTATAGAATTTATTAAAAAGCCCAATAATTAACTAACTTTGTACCAAAATCTTATACAAGACTAGATTCAGTTTGATTTTTTAATTGGACAATTGCTTTCTCAAAATGGCGGGTGCTGTTTTTACAGTTTAAATCTTTACTAATATTATAAAGCTGAAGAGTTTATTTGTTTGTTGGCTTGAACGCGCTAATCTCAGGGACTACTGGTTCGAATTGAAAAGTTCTTTTAATGTTTAATAGCCCATTTAACGAGGAAGGCTATATGCTATATAACATCACGCAACGACCAATTAAAGCCGAGCATCAATAAAAAATGTTAAAAAAACGGGATTTTTTTATAAATTTTCAGATAAGCAGACGAAGTTTCGTGTGACAGCTAGTATAATATAATTTGACCAAATGCTTTCGAACTCGTATCTAAGTGTGAACATTACTACTTAATAAACATAATTCCCATTGAGAATCAAATCAATGTTAATACCTCGAAACGTGCTTTCTACGGTTGAGACGGGATAAGCCGAAATTATTGATTTACATAGTGGTTACACGTACTATTTTAAGCTTTATTTTAAAGTCGTAAGCTTCACAATTGATTGTGAAGGAAGAGTACACTTTGGTTGTATAATGTGGTACAATTCAGTAACTCTTAACGACTTCATTTCAAATATAAAAGATATTTCTTTTTTTTTAAACGGGACAAATTATTGTAAATTCTTTGCTTCATTAATGATAGTGTTTAATAATGGAAATAAGTAATATCATAATCTACTTGGCTCTTTAACATTATCCCTTCGACGCTTACTAATGTATGAGACTTCGTCAGCTTATTATGTTATTTTTGTATTGATAAAAAAAATACTTCTGAATTGAGTCAGAAAACTCGCTGGAAGCAATTATGTCTCTTTAAAAATTGGAAAGTGTAGCCGTTTACGTTATCCTCAAGCTGGTCTTGGGTGCTTGCTTGCTTGATTATCACCCTACATATGCAAATAATATAACCTGATCTAGTAAATAACTACCTGTACCTTGCTACGATTCGCTGTGGCACATTGTGGTTGCGTGTTGTATCTATCTCGTGTCAAAATTTGAGCTTAATCGGTACAGATCTTTTTGAGTTTTTGAAGCGTACAAACCAACTTAACATTTTTATAAGTATATATAGGTTTATGCAGTCGTTTGGATGAGGGATGATGAAATCATTTGTGTAAAGTTTTATAAGGTAAGTATAGGTGTCGCAGTTATGACGATTAGAAACTTTTTAAGAAATTTTAGTTAAAAAAAATATGCACCAAATTATTTATTAGCATATATTATCATATGTATAAACATAACGTGACCCCAAGAAGCACTAAAAAAAATACTAGCATTAAAAAAACATTTCTTATGTAAATTTAAGTCATACTTATTATGCATAGTTGGATAACAATCAAATAAAAGCAAACTATGTTAGTTTTATTGTAAAGCTTAGGTATGTAAATTCGCTATTTCTCTTACTTTATACCACAGTATAAGATGAACAGCCCCAAAACTGAGGGCGACATGTCTATCAGCGATAATGTGAGTTACCACAGCTACAATATGTGACACACATCGCATTTAAAGTGCTGCGGTTGAAGTATAAAAAATAGACATAAAACAGTCGTTTGATGTAAAAATGAGGTAATTACAGTCTGATGTGTGTGATGATTAACTCCTTTATGTCAAGACTGAAGATTGTCATTAACATTTTCTAGTCATCCTCAGTTTGTTCATCAAGATCTTGAGACATAACTTATGAAGGTCAAATCATCATTTTTATATTTAGTCTTAAGTGATATTAGCAGAGCCTGCAGTACTAGAATGAGGGATAAGCTATTGACTAGTAATTACAGATGCAGTGTTATTTATGAGTATACCAGATTCGCTTACGTTGATTTTTGTTATCAATCTATATGGACTAATTCCTTTTTCTGAATAAAAACTATATTGCGTCCTTTTCTGTACCCCCTGTGGTCTTTCATGTAAAATTTCAAGATGTTCCGTTAAGCAATTATGGCAAGAAAGCGTAACAAACAAACCCACATTCGCATTTATAATATTACTAATTAAGATTTAACGTAAAACATATAGTGTTTAACACGAACGTGAAATTGAGAAGTTTTGTTAATTAACATTTAATTACCATGTAACGTAAAAAACCAAAAACATCAATAATATTTTATTGATTTTGTTGTTGCCATACGAACACCAGTGGCAATCGTTACGGGTCGTTGGAGCCCTAAAAAGTTTGACCACAGTCGATCTATAGAACTACCATATATCCATTTCATCCATTCCATATCGCCTAGTACCTAATACAGTTGTGGAGGTCTGAAGGCAGTCGTTCCTTATCGCAGTAGACGGAAATCTGACCGCACTTAGTGTGGGAAAAGGCCTCGGAGGATGATGATGATAAATATTTTAGTCATGAACTTTTTAATCATGGTGGTCGCAAATAATTTTGTGTTATGTGTTACATCTTTTCTCTCACATCACATCACATCAACAGCCTTTAATAGTCCACTGCTGGACATAAGCCTCTCCTTAGAAAGGAGGTTTTGGCCTACTATACCACGCTGTCCAGACGGGTTGGTAAAGGGTTTGTATCAAGTTTTCCTTCTCTCTGCAGTGCTGTTGTTTTGCGTAGTTTTCTCCCTTAGTCGGCTCTTACGACACCCACGGGATGAATAGGGTTGGTGACACTCTGTATTCTTAATCCGTTACCACACGGACCATTTCTCTCGCTTTCCTACAATCTGTGAGAGTTATTTTGTGATAAGGGACGGAAGTGTGTAACACGTAGTCGGGGAAGCGCACGCTATTTGATTTGACCAATGAGACCGCGCTATTTAATTTGACCAATGAGCGCACACGGTGCTAGTGTTGACTGTTATACACTTGATATGCAACTACTGCCAGGCAATTTCTTTATTCTATTGCTTTTAGTGGTATGATAGTAACTTTTCTACTGACACAATGACCACTTTTTTGTCCTGTAAAACGCCTCAAAAACACAATTTCTCTAATATGATAAAACCATCAACGTTCGGTCTTACATTAGGGGCTTATATTTGTAGCACACCCTATTTCGTCCCACCCAAAGTACACCGACTTACTAATAATTCTGAACATAGCTTCTGAACGCCAATGATCAAATAAACTAGATATACATATTCATCACTTCCATTTGTGTACATACGAGTATTTATAATAGCCTACAGATATCAGAATACTGTTTAGACTTGCATATTTATTCATTGAACGGCTAGACATAGTCTAAAATAGTATACATCTATCTACGGCAGTAAGTAAACAAACAGCCGAGGTCAGCAAACGCTTTCTTATAACAATCTTCTAAAATATATTCATATGGAGGTATCGAGAGTGAAATGATGCGTGCGCAGCTTGTTCAAATATACCATCCGGGGAAGATACGGAGTGTTTGTTTGTCTTGCACCGAACCCCGGTAGAAAGGGACGCTACTCCGTGAGGCGATATTTTTAAACAACTTATTGACGTCATGATCATTGTATTAAACTGTAATTTAATGTTTAAAGTATACAAACACTTGTATGAAACTGTTAAAAATAAAGCAAAGTACTTTGGATATGTTCACTGGCTAGCCAACTCTGGTTAAATAAACTTACTGGGAACCAACTGGTAGGTAATACATATGTTATTACAGTTAAGTGAAACTTAAAAAACAAGCTTTTAAAAAACAAGAATTGAGAATATAAAAAGTTCTTCTTTAAGCTACTAGATTCATTATCAGAATATTGTTAATAGGACCGATCTGTTAAACTCGTCCAACTAAATCTTTGTTCTATAATATTCGAACGGTTAGGTAATAGAAAATGAACAGTTCAATTTTCTTTCTAGCCTTGAGGGCTTAAATCAATTCCAAGATTCCAAATTATGTATTAACTTAATAAGACTATTGGAAGTACATTAAAATTGACTCCTAAAATTTGTCTACATAATTAGTTAAATACAAGTAAAACTAGTCCGTGTGGTGACAGATTAAGAATACGGAATGTCATCACCCTTATTTACCCCTTGGGTGTCGTAGGAGGCGACTAAGGGAACAACAGCACTGCAAAGAGAAGGAAAACTTGAAACAAACCCTATACCAATCCACCTGGCCAGGGTGGTATAGTAGGCCAAACCCTCCTTTCTAAGGAGAGGCCTATGTCCAGCAGTGGTCTAGTAATGGCTGTTGATGATGATGATTGATGAAGTAAAACTAATATTACCTAATTAGTCATTTATCTTATTAGCTTCAATTATAAAACAGCCATATACAACTCTGCATCACTGGCATCACCTAAAGGTCGACTGGAAGAAAGCGCCTATGGCATTAATTCCACCTTATGCAATATATTTGCAGGAAGTATTAAATTAAAAAATGGCCTTAAAATCTACTATATATTGCTATATTGGTCAGCTTCAAAGTTCCTTTAATTTAGCACCATAATTATAAAAAATACATGTACACGAATACGTATTACCGTATAGGTGAATATACGAAAACTTAAACTGATTACCGAAATACATCTGGGCAATTAAATAGGTAGGAATCAAATGAATTTATTTGGTTTATCTATAGGTATAAATATAG